GGCCCCGGCGCGCGTCTAAAAACTTTGGGCGTGCTCCGCACCACAACAGGAGGAAGGGCCGCGGGGGGGGGGGATCGTCGCCCCTGGAAGGGCACAAGGGCGGCCTCTGGCTGGCAGCCGGCTTTCCTCCTTTCGGGGCTCCGCTCCGCTCCGCGTTGCTGCTCCAGGAGCGGCTCTCCTCCTGCCCGCCGAAGCACCCGAGCCCACCGCTCCGCAGCTGCACTCACTCCATCTTTCCTCTTTCCCGCCTCCTCGCGTGCAAGACTTCGGTATGCGAAAGTCTGCTGCCCCCTGGTGGCCGAGGCGTCGTCGAGGAAAAAGCCGGGTTTTGTGATCGACTTCCAGAGAGGAGGGCGTTGCGACCGCATGGTCCGTCCGGCAAGAGCCTTAAACGCAGACCTTGCTGGTGCAAGTGGGCTCGCACAAAACCACACAGATGGGCCCCTTCGCTTGCCCTAAATGCAGCCCCGTGCAAATTGGGCCTGTGTTTCTCTGGAGCCCAAGAATCCCGGGGCCTGAGGGATCAAATGGATATGGGATCAGATGCATCCGGAGAATTGTTTGCTGTCTGCCGAAGTTAATGCCCAGTGAAACCTGGTGGCCTCCCAGATGCCCCCGGACTGTTCTGTTGTGTTTGCTGCCTGAGGAAGTTGTCCTCTTGGATATGCTGCAGAGCCACTGGTCCAGCAGAAAATATGGAAACAGTCCCCCATCCGGTGACACGATGGTTCTTCTGTCTCAGCCCTTCAAGGCCCCTCCACAAGGGCGAGAGGCACAGGCTTGTGTGCCTTTAGGTCGCCACCCCACTGTCTCTGGGCCCAATGCAGGTGTCCCTGCTGCTCACTGTGTTGCTCACCACAGACTCTTGGAGCCCATTTCGGCCTCCTCCCCTGTCCTCCTGCATTCTCTATATCCTGCTACATTCCCCTGGCCAGTCCTGCCACAGGCTCCCTTTGCGCTTTTAGTCCAGCCGAAAGGGCAGCAGATGGGTTCAGGATTGGGCAGGCCATCCTCGAAAGAGCTGCTCTGCTTGGACCCCCCCTCTCTCTCTCTCACACACACACACACACACACACACACACACACACAGAGAGAGAGAAAGAGAGAGAGAGAGAAAGTTAAAATGAAATCAGTTAACTTCATTGAGAAACTTAAACTTAAGAGAGAAAATCCTAAAGCCTATTTCCAACTAAAGGAGGTCAGTTCCTTACACAGAAAAAAAAGGGGGGGGAGTCAAAGCATGTGAAGGTGAGAACATCCTTCCTGGGATGAGTGGGAGGGGGCAGGGTAGCTTTCCCCCCCCACTACCACCACCTCTTTTCCCAAACCCCTCCTGGACTTTTGGGATAAAGAGGTGCAAAGAGTCAATGGAGGATTCCAGACCCACACCCACCCACTCAAAAGGGCACATGGTCTTCTGAGCCTGAGAGTCACCCAATGGACACATAAGGATCATATATTTAACACTCATTGGGGTTAGCTTCATTTTATGCACTGCTGTTATCTGCTTGAGCAAACTGAGCACCACCTTCAAGATAGGAGAGTAAACACAAAGCCCAGGAAGCCTGAACAGATGCTCTTCTGACTCACCTGCCAGAGCCAGAATCACTGACCCAGTTGCTGCTTCTTTCTTTCACAACTCAGGATGCCTATCCTCACAGGGAACTCACATGGACATTTGTTGTCTCCTGACCTCAGGCTATGTCAGGATCTGGCCCACTCCACCCTGGCAGCTTCAGGATCAGGGCCAGCCTGACCCAGGAATAGCCTGGTGTTTGCAGACTCAGGCCCTGGCCTGTGTAGCAGCTGCTGGGCCTCTCATGAGGCTCACCTGGAAGGCTGGAGGGAAGACCTATTTAAGGAGTGCTTTTCCCTCCCAGAACTGGCCTCAGCAATGAAGGCTTTCAGCTGTGCTTACTGTTCCTAATGCCTTAATGCTCATGAGTTTCCGAGGGCTTGCGTTCCAGTATTCCTGCATCTGTTTCTCTTCCTGTTCCTGCCTTGGCCCCTGCTCTCGCCTTTGCAGGCCTCCTGCATCTTGGTGCCTTATTCTGGCTCTGTCCTCTCAGCCTGGTGCTCCTGCCTCTGCTTGGTCACAATCCACTGTGCAGTGAGTGCTTTTGGACTTGATACCCTGCATGGTGGACAGGGTCTGGGTGCCCTTTTTGCCCCTGGTGAGATGCTGCCTATGATCTCTTGGACAGTGACAGGCTGCTCAGAGCATGCATCAGGAAGACCTTTTCCTGCCTTCCCAGAGGTGGGCACTGGGAAGGCAAGCAGCCCCTTCTCCCCCCCTCCCTGCCGCTTTGTTCATAGGAAGATCCCTCCCTGGCCTCTGCTGTCACTGTGGGGCCAGTATCACTACAGAGATTGACAAACTGGGAGCCATCATGTGAGACTCATATGTGACATGTTTATAAGACCAGTTTTGTAATGTGTAAATTTGTTGGAGGAAATTCATAATCCCCTCACAATCAGTAGAGAATAAAATGCAAAACAAACAGCTACAGCACTAGGGAAACATGAAAGAGAGAACAGCAAAACATAAAAAATTTAAAAATCCCAGTTTCCACTCTGACTTATGGCAACCCTTTTTAGGATTTTCCAGGTAGAGAATACTTGTAAATGGATCACCATTCCTCTCTTCTGGGGGCACCCTAGGACTATGCAGCTTGCCCAAGGCCACACAGGCAAGTTTTATTCACAGGAGGCACAATGGGGAAATCTCTGACTCCACAGCCAGATCCTCAAACCACAGAGCTATCCAGCCAGCTTTGTTTTCTCTAGGTCTTTGTGTATATATGAAAAATCATTCTACAATTGGCTTAAATAGAAAAGGAAAACATATTTACTTACACTTGATCTTCAGTTACAATCAGAAGAGTAAAGAGGATAAAAGAAAGAAATTCTAGCCTCAGCCATGTGCAATGCTCACCCCCCCATTGCAGCTGCATGGTCAGAGATCAGGAGCAAAAATATTGCATGATCAGAGGAAAAGAGACCTTGCAGGACAGACAGAAAAGGGGGTAGGGCAAGCCAGAGATATGGAAAAAGAACTTAGCTAGAAAGGAAAGAATCTGTTTAAGTCCTAAAGACTTCCCTCCCACTTATACTAAAGTTGCAAAGCATGCAAGATTGTTAATTTCTCCAACAAAATTCAGTAAAGCTAGGTGGTGGTGGGGAACCAGGCTGATTACTCTTTTGAACTGATGTATGTTTCAAAGTGCTGGAAGAGACTTGAGAGTCCCCTGGACTGCAAAGAGAACAAACCTATCCATTTTGAAGGAAATCAACCCTGACTGCTCCCTGGAAGGACAGATCCTGAAGCTCAGGCTCCAATACTTTGGCCGTATCATGAGAAGAGAAGACTTCCTGGAAAAGACCCTGATGTTGGGAAAGTGTGAAGGCAAGAGGAGAAGGGGATGACAGAAGACGAGATGGATGGACAGGTCACCGAAGCTAGCAACATGAATTTGACCCAACTCCTGGAGGCCACGGAAAACAGGAGGGTCTGGCGTGCTCTGGTCCATCGGGTCACGAAGAGTCGGACATGACTTAAACAACAACAACATGTTTCAAAGGGATGCTTTTGTTTTGTTTACAGCAGGCAAGTTTCACAGTAGGTAGTGTGGGCTTCCTATTGCTCCCACACAATGTCCCCTTCCTGGTTTCACCTAATGAGAGGCATGGGTCTCCCCTCCTCCCTTGGCAGCAGGCTGCTAGCCAAGCACCGTTGGGCTGCTCTATGCTTAGACCCTGCTTTGTGCTTAGACATTCGTTTGGGAACAATTGTATGAACATAGATCATGTAAACAACAGGGTGAGGCAAGCACCATCCCCCCCCTGCATCTTCTCTGCCTCCTGCTCTTCTTGCACTTCTGTTATTCGGGCCCAGTGGCCATTCATTTCAGTGGCTCCTCCTGAGCACCAGATGTTACCAGAAGATGCAACTGGAAGTGCAAATGCCCTCCTTTCTTGGCCCTTCAAAGCCAGAATCAAAGTGTTTTCTTCAAGGAAAAGCCACAACAACCACAGGAATGAGCCTCACTGGAATCTCTACTGCAGATGCTGGACCTCATTGCCCAGCAGAGGCAGGAGTCTTGTCGTGCCCTGTGTAGCTCTCTCCAGGAGGACTCCTGCTGCATTTCCTGGAATGCAGAGAAAATTTTCCCTGAAACAGGGCACTTCTGAGACACTGGAGAACACACACCATAGGGAAACACCACAAGGGCCCAGGGCGTGAAAAATCCCAACCCTTCATACCTTTCCTCTGCCCCCATTGCCACCCCCACCCTGCTTTCAGACAGATCCCCTTGACCCATCATTGCACAGAGCTTCCAGAGGTAAAGATGCTACACAGAGAGAGACAGCCAGGCTCGTGCCCAGGAAACCTACTAGAGCCCAGCTGGCCATCTAGCACTGCTGCTTCTGGCTGGAAGGAAGGCCAGGGGCCAGGGGCCAGTTCTGTGGTCCAAGCCACACAAGAAGATGGGGTAACACACAGCAAGTAACCCTCTTGGATACGTGGATGAAAGGGATGCTGGTCATTGGTTTGGCAAATCTTGAATGCCTTGAGAGAAATCTAGGCCCCTCCAGAACCTGATGGCCCCAACATCTCCCACTTGTTTTCTGTCCATGATGAGGTTATCGCTCCTACCTTCCCTTCAGCAGTTCTTCCTCTCCCTGGTCCTATTCTCCCTGGTCAGCCAAATAGCTGACTCTGCAAAACAAAGGCCCAACACAACAAACTTTACTTGGATGTGAAAGACACACAGAGAGAGAGAGAGAAATGGTGGAGGGCTAAAGAGTGACCTAAGTCAAGGGGAAACCACTGCAGCTCTGCACAACTGTGAATCAAACTGCCCCCCCACCTATGAGCATCCCCAGCACCTAAAGACCTCTCAGAGCTGTGCCACTTTAAGACCTGGAGGAGAAATGAGGCCATTCATGGTGGTGCTTGGGTCATGCTTGCCTGCCGTGCTACTCTGACAATTTTGAGAAGCAAAGGGGCCTGGTGGTGGGTTGAGGACTCAAGAAAGCTCTCCTGGAAGCAGAAGCAGCTGTTAGGTGAACATGGGTAAGTTCTGTGTTTCATCAGTCATGGGAAGAGAGTACAGAGGACCAGCCACCATCTTTCATCACTTAATTGCAATCATTAATCAAAATTCCATTAAAGAGAATGTGGCTTCTTCTCACATGGCTCCCTCTCTTCTTTCACCAGGCCATGAGTTAACTCTGCCCGAAAGAGAGGCTTCCATCTTGGGCCTGCCTGTTAAGGAGACATCGGAGACTGTCTGCACCATCCTGGTATGCCTCTTACACCCATGCCAAAAGGCAATGTGTTCTGCCTTTCTGCCAATACATGAAGAATATGTTCACAAATTAAATGTTCCTCTTTTTGTTAGCTGCACCATACCAAACAAGAAAGTGCCACTAGGCCTCTTTTCCCCGGTCAGTTTACCCACCAAGACCTCCTCTGCTTCTCCTTGTAAAGACATACTTATCAAAATTTTATACATGACAACTCTGTGAATCATGGTTCTCTGTAATCCCAAACTGGACAGCTTTAAAAATGGATCAAGATGAACTCATGGAGGCTTACAAGAAGAAGAAGGCAGAAGGGAACCCTCCTTCTTGAATATCTACCCAAGAATACGCAACTGGCACCAGCTTTTTTTCATTTAGGGGTCAGACAAGGTTTTCATTTACCCAGAAACCTAAAAGTGCACTGACTATTCTAAGGATTTTAATCTCTGGATTTAGCTTCCTTTGCTAGTTTTTCTGAGGACATTTATTATTCTTCCCTACATTGTTTTGATTTTTGGAAACCACATAAAATCTCTGATAGAGGTAATGTGTTTCTGCTCCAAACAAATTAATTAATGAAGTGGATACAAGAAAGAGCTGGGGAGCAGTTTAGGCAAGCTGCTGCAAGGATGGCGGACAAGGTGAGGAGCTTTGCTTCTCTAGATCCTCCGCCTCCTGCCCATCTCTCTTTGCCACCAGTCCCACTCCCACTAGGTCTACATGGCCTGCCACTGGTGCAGCCTGGGGGCAAGTATTTCCTTGGTCCTGAGGTGTTACCCAAAGGAGGGACTGAGAAACCACTTCCGAATGGTACATATCTAGAAAAACATGGGAGGGTCAGCATATGTTGGGACCAACCTGATGACACATAACTGTAGATTAATTATGCATCTCCTTGTCGGGACTCTAAGCAGAGGCTTGTAGACGTTTTCTCCTAAGGACAAAGCTAGAGTTGCCCGGATGAGCCCTTATATACTGGAGGGAATGATTCTGGCTCTTTCTACCTTTGAGATCCATGGCCACCTTAGGAACAGTCTGCCACCCCATTCAGTGCAAAGTGAATCCCTTTAAGGGATTCACAACTAAGTCGCCCCAAGTAGACGCTGCCTGGGGGGGGTGGGGGGGTAGAAATCTAATAAATAAATAAAAATAGTTGCCATCCCTTACTCTGAGGTTGTCGTGGGTGGAGAAACTCCATGTCTAGGGAGCAAAGGAGAAGACAGGAGGCCTCCAGATGAGTGACCAGTCCCTACCCTTTGTTCAGGCAAATGCTGGCACCAGTTGTCACCTTCACTGTGGGACAGCCGGAACCAGGCTATCCCCCCTCTCTGCCCCAGCAACCACCACCTCTAAGCCAGGTGCTCAGTGGCAAGGCTATGTTTCTGCCACATTTTAATCCCAGAATAGAAGCTAAAGGCCAGAAGACAGCAAGAGAAAGGGGGCTCTGAAGCAGAGAGTATATGCTGGGTGAGGTGTTCTGCCGAGCATAGCTGCATCCCTGGAAAGGAGGAGGTTCTCCTCCAGTATAACACTCTCAAACTGCCCCTGGCTTTTCCTGGTTTGGACCGGAGGGTGGAATTTGAGGAGCACCAGTGATCATCCACTTAGAACTTACACCAGGCTTCCCTAAGGAGAAGAAAGTCTTGGGGAAAAAACCCTTGTGGTTTCTCTGTGCCCATCTAACTTCTATAGTGGATTTGACCAGACAGCAGCCAAACACCAGGGCCACTGGCCGCCAGAACTATGGTAAGGTGGAGTTCCTTTTCCTGTGCTGTTCAGAGTTTGGTCACTGCCTCTTAGAGTCATAGAGTTGGAAGCAACCATTCAGGAACATCCATCCAAGTAGTCCCAACCGATGGCCATCCAGCCTTTGCTTGAAAACCCCCAAAGAAGGAGACTCCACCACCCTTCAGGGCAGCCTTGTATTCCACTGCTGGGCAGCTCTGACCGTCAGGAAGTTCTTCCTAATGTTCAGATGGAATCTCTTTTCCTGTAGAGTCTTTTCCTCTTCCTCCCACCCATCCACTTTCTTCTTTTCCAAGGACAGTCTTCAAGCTCCACCTCACTTCTTTTTTTCCCCATACTGTACTTCCAACCTCCCTGCTGAAAGCTGCTGCTGCTGCTAAGAAGACACCATGGCAGCCCTGTATGCTCCCTCCTCTGGTGTGTTCTTCACAAAGCTGGAAAGAGAAGCTGCCCTCCACTGCATCTGTCTTCCCAGGCTGTTGCTAAGCGACACAGCATCAGATGGAGCTCAGACAGAGGCATCTCTCCAGTTTTTCCTTCATGCTGGATGCTCCCGGGCTTTTCCTCTGTAGCCAGCTTAGCAGTGTGTTTCTGTCGTACTCACAAGGCCAGCAACAAGGGCTAAGGTTTTCCCCATGCAACGTGGGTTCTCTGGCTGCAAAACTACCTCAGCCCATAGCAGGCCTCATCTGCCAAGGAAAGACCCCACAGCCTTCTTTCAAAGGCACAGACAGCAGCTGACTTCTCCCATTGACACTCATGGCAGATGATCTCCCCACCAAAGGCATCAAGTAGATTTTAATTTAATGGACAAAACAGGACCCTGTGGGACTCCACAGGCAAAGGGATCAAGCCAATGCCAATGCACGTGTGTGTGTGTGCATGTGCATGTGCGCATGCACGTGCGCGCACACACACACACCTCTGTCTCTTGGGGTATTTTATCATGCCAGGCAGGATCACAGTCATAGCCAGTCTCTGCACCAATTTTTACACTGGTCAGATGTCCCACAGCGATGGGACAATGAGATGCCACAGAGCCATCCTGCAGAACACCAACATACTCCTTCCAGTGCAGTTCCTGGTATAGACAGCCTGCCAGACTAACCGGGGCAGTTACGTCCTGAAACCATTCCTGATCCACAAAAGTGGGTAGAGGAAAGGAGGCCTTTAGTAACAGGCTCTTTTCTAGCAGGAAGGATGCCACTGGGAAGTGTGCAGCAGTGGTCCCCAAGCGCTCCTGCTGCTTCTGCCACCGTTGCTGCTGCCACCACAGCTGGCTCCCTTCCAGGCAGCAGCATCAGCTGCTCCTCATCTTCCCACTCCCTTCCCTCTGGACTGGTGCTTCTTCCGCCTCCAATTCCTCCCTGGCCCCTTTGGTTATTCTGCATTCCAACTCCCAGAGGAGCTGTTTGCTCCCTTTCGCTCTTAATTACCTCTCTTGTTTTGGCCTCAGTGCTTCACTCTGGAGGCTCTCAATTATGTATGGAGCCAGTATTGCTGGCAGTGAGCTTGCCAGGGCAGGTAGAAATTGAGAAACACTGGCACTTGGTCTCAGAGTGCTGCTGGTTCTTAGCTTTCTGTAAAGCAAGTCACAACTAAAGTAGGCCCATTTGAATCAGTGGAAGTTATAGAGGAGTTGACACACCAAATCTCCATTGATTAATGGGTCTACTTTTGTGTGATTTACTACATTAAACAACAGGATTTTGGCCACTGAAATAAATGTGTTGACTTTACAGGTGCAACAGCATTTTGGTTTTATTGTTGCACCTGGTGAAACAGAAGAACACAGCTGCCTTTTGGTGAACTGGATTGCTTGTATGATGATTTTGGCAGTTTTATTTTTAATTTTCTTTTCTTTTCTAACTATCACCATCATTTGCCTTATTTACAAAATGGGCCAATGTTTTCATCTCACCACAACCTTAATTTCTCTATTTCACAGGGTTCAGGAGCTGAGAAAACTGCTCAACAAAAACCCTTCCTATTACAGCTGGCTTGACTTTAGAAATCAATTTCCACTGGCTGCGACGTTGCTGTCATCTGTTTCCCTGTGCTGAAAATACTGGTAATACAGAATGGATCTGAGTTGGTAGGTTTAGGCAGGATAGAAAGTTCAACAAGTTTAAATAGTGAAAATCATATCTTGAATGCTTCTGCATCCTTAAAAAAGCCTATGCCTCTTTTGGACTTCCTTGGACTAAAGATGGCATAAAAATCAACTTTGGCCAAAAGCTCACTAGATATCTGCTGTTCCTCTGAGTCGTAAAGGGCAAGGAGAATTCTAAAGCTGAGGGTAGGTACCTTTTGGTCTGAATTGAGGTGACCTCAGCTTAACCTTACCTACTTTGAAATACACTCAGGGATAGAAAGAGCCCTAGCTTAAATATGGCTCATGAATCAGGGAGGAAAGGGACAAACAGGCCTGCCTGTCTGGGCAGCCCTTTTGGAGCAGTTGCTGAGCATCCAGAACCAAGAACCAGGCAGTGATACTCTGCGTCTTGATAGGTTTCCTACCTAGAATAATCCTGAAAAGAAAGTCAGCCTCTCGGGGTCTAGGCAATTGCTCCTTCCAAAGCCCCGAAGAGGCCAGATGACCAGGGACAATCACCGCAGACTCACTACAGATGGTCTCTGTCCCATCAATTATAAAGGGCAACCTGTCATTTTAGTGCCATGTGAGTTGGCTTCCAACTGGGAGAAGAGGCACGGGTGGGTAAGCCTTGTGGAGAAAACAACTGCTTGCATCCTAGAGCAGGAAATGTAAAGCTGGAGAGCAGAGTCAAGATGTGTCCCCAGAAAGGGCTGGAAACCTGTTCCCAGGCTGCCGTGAGGGACTGCACCATCTGCCCTGCCCTCCATGCTTCTTTTTCCTGCTCCTTTTTCTGGGGCTTCAGCTGCTGCACCCAGTTGGGGAGCAAAAGCTGACCTGGGTCCAGCATGCAAGAATGGGCTGAGCTGATCCCCCCTGCCATATAGGATCAGGCCTTGAAGGATCAGGATTTGCTGGTTTGATATAGGACAGAAAGGAAGAGAATTGCTAGGAAGTAGACTGTGCTTATTGGTTGGTTTATTTTAAAGTAATAATACTAGAACTAAGAGGCACCACTTGAACTTTAAAGGCTGTTGTTATGTACCATCAAGTCACCTTCAACTTATTATACCTTTATGAATTATGGTCTCCAAAATTTCCTGTTCTCAGTGGCCCTGCTCAGCTCTTGTAAACTAAACCCTGTGGCTTCCTTTAGGGAA